TCTGATAATGTTTCAGTAATTTCTCACTTGTGAAAGTTAGCCATAATTGTGTGCAACCAAGGAAACATAAATGATGCAGAAACTCAGCTTGTTTCTATGATCTTGAAATAATTTCTTATCTTTGGTAGTTTCAAGACTGAGAAACAAAAAAACAAATTCAGGTGTTTTCTTTTTCTTTCAAGATAATCAATCACTCTATGATTAAAATTTATATTCACATGAAATACCTTTTGTGAAAATTTGAGAAATCATTAGAAAAATGGAACCCCGTATCAGTCAGCTATTGCTGAAAAAAAATCACAATGTATCAGTGTCAAATAATAAGCATTTGCTTCTTGCTCATGTATCTGTGGGTTAACTGAGGTGGATCTTCTTCAAGCTGCAGGTTTTCAGGTTGGCTGGGGCTGCTCTGTTCAATGTGCTGAGCTCACTTCTGGGGCAGAAGCTCTCTGAATTCTATTCTTCTTGTGGCAATGGCAACAGTGCTGGAGGAAAACCCAACTGCATATGCTCATTTCAAGCCACTGCTTATATCACATCTAATATCCCACTGTATATTAGGGAAGCAAGTCCCCAATCATGCTCACAGTAACATGACAGGTAAGTCCACCCACCGCAAGGCCATGGCAGGAGTGTGGATATGTGATACTATTACAGGGAAGTGAAGAATTTGGACTGATATTTCTGTCTACTACAGTCTGTCCTTTTTGCCATGATTATTCATGTCCTTTTCATATTCCCTCTAGCTTCATTCAATCACGATATCAGGCCCTAAAGTCCAGGATATTGTGATGCACATCAAGTTTGGATGTGGTTTCCTTTGATTCACAGACCTATGAATGATGAAGGTGATTTTACTTTTCCTCACACGCATAACATACAATAGTGGAGTAAGGATACAATCACAGGAATAACCACTTCCATTAGGAAGGGAAAGTAGGCACACAGCAGTGACAGCTCAGTGGCAGTTCTAAAGTCCTGCTGGATAAACATTTCTGAGTCTCTCTACCATGGGGTGAGAAATATTTCCTGATTAGGTTCCAGTTATTTTCTTTAGAAGTGGCATCCTACTCTCTTCTTCAAGGCTCTTAGTTCTGCATACTAGAAGACCCTTTATTACGCAGGTTTTTCCATCATTGCAATCTTCTTATTTCTAGAAAATTGAAGACTCAGAGGTCATTTTATATCTCACACAGTCACAGTCTCAGCTTCTTTTAGCCCAAGCTGGTGACGCTTTTACCAAGATAATTCTCTCAAGAACTTTATGAGTTTTCTGTGTATTTGATTCCATTTAACTCCATGTACCTACTTAGAATATGGCCCAAAGAAGCCTGATAAACCCAAATTACCTATAAGTAACTCTAAAGAGGACTCGTTTAAGAAACAATCATGTTTTGAGGGGGGGGGGCACTTAAAATACACCATGATTCTTTCCAAAATATGTCTTCCTCTCTAGAGTTACTTACAGGTAATTTGGGTATCAGGTTTCTTTGGGCCACATCCTAAATATTTTGCCCAGCTATAAAGATCTACTAAGACGAAACGTTAATCCGTTAAGATATCTTAACAGAGGATTACAACTTCACCCTTGGTTTGCTCTTTACTTTGAGGCTGTGTAATAATTGCCATACCTTAGATTTGGTGAGAAACTGCCTCATTATTCAACCCAGCAACTTCTCACATTAAATTCCCTCCAAATTCTTGCAAACTGACCAGTTCTTTTTTTTCAGTTCAACTTTTTCAGGTAGCACCTTGATAATGCAGCTGGTAGCAATGAACTCATCTTTCAACATTCTTTCTCAAACTTCTTTGCCTAATGCTATCATTTTATTAAATACATTTTTTCTTAAAAGTTATCTCAGGCAACAATTATATCAAATGCTTTGTGCTACATAATGCATGTCACTATCTTTCCAGCTTTTACTAATAGTTTCTTTATAGCCCATAGTCAATGCCACACATTTGAAATTTTTGTTATGGCAGTACCCTACATCTGGTACCAATTTCTGTTCTAGCCAGCTATTGCTGTGTGACAAACAACCACAAATCTCAATGTCATTTATTTATGCATCTGTGGGTCAGCTAGGGTAGCTCTGTTCTCTGTTTCTCATTCTGGGGCTCAAGCTGGAGGGGCAGTGATTACCCAAAATATGTTCCTCCTGTGCTGGTAACAGCAGCACAACAGGGCAAGTCCAAGCACACAAGTGACAATTCAAGTCTTTGCTTACATCAAAGCTATTTTGCTAATGTAACATTGACCAAGCCAAGTCAGATAGTGAAGTCCCAAATCATGGGAAATAATATAGTAAACTCCACTCATCGTGAGGACATGGAAGAGGTAGGTTTTAATACTACTATGTGGGAGTGAGGAATTCGTACCAATAATTTAAATCTCTTAATTTCTCTGAAGCACACATTTACCCAGTGAGCCTCCCTTTCCAGAGCAAGTATTTTCCCTTTCCTCTTCTGAAGAAACAGTTCTATTTTCTTGAAGATGTTATTTCTTCCTTCACTGGATAATTCCCTTGTAGAAAGTAACTAGTAATTTCTTTCATGCTCATGCCTTTGGTGAAGCAAATAGAGACTCAAAGTAAAAAAATCTTGCCCACCAAAAGAATGACAGGAATTCTCTAATTTAGGTTGGCAAAGTCTCAGGAATATTACTGAGAATGGATTGAGGATACTTAACAGTGCTTCATGAAAGAGTGCAGACATAGTTGCAGATTTTACTGTACTTGTTGACTTGGAATTCACTGTACTAGTTGTCACATATGCATGAGATAACCTGTGGGTCAGGTTGGTGAATACAAACACAGACCCAGCATTCACAGACTCCAAGGGAAAACAAGGCCTCCGAAGTCCACTGGAGCAGTTGAAAAGAAAGTAGCCAGAGTACTTGGGTGGTAGAATTTATTGAGTAGGTCTATCCTGTGCATGTGATCCTCACATAATCTATGTCTCCTAACAGCCTGAGAAGGCTCAGAAGACACGTGTTTCACCAAACACTTAAACCACGCCTACATGAGACATATCAGTATACTGGATGTTCCCTCAAAACTGTGATTAGTGGAGAGGGACACTACAATCAAAATGAGCTCCCTGATTGGAATGCACAGATGCCTTGTCCACACTGGAAAGCTGGTAAGCATAACAATTAGGACTTGGTTTAAGTTACTTTAACTTTGATTACAACCATACCAGCAAACCACAAATTAGTGAGCGGTGTAGTGCTCCAATGCCTCGTGGCTCCTCATACAGGTATTTTTAAAATTTGATGATAAAGTATTCCATTCATACTGGGGGAGTCCTCTACCAGGTTGCAGGATAGAGTCTGACACTCACTGATTTTTTTACCTTTAGACTAAGGGAGAGGCCACATCAGCACTCAAAAGTCCACACATTTCCAAATGAACCAATTTCTGGCTGTGCCTCTTCTGAGTTCTATGCATTCTTCCATGTTCCATTTCTTCCTGGCCATGGTTTACAAGGCAGGTGATAGAGGCCAAGGAGCCTCACTTCACAATCACAGGACAAGTGGGCGTGTTAATACTGGGAAGAAGAGCTGGGCGATAAACCGAATGATCTAACCTTTGGAGGTCTCTGGTTATAGCTAATTATATGGGTTCTAAAGAATGAAATAGATAGACATACCATTAAAGTCTTGCTATGTTTTTATGTGTTCTAACATGTAAACAAGCATCCTAATGATCAGAGGCTGTTGAGACACAGAGATGAAGAATCAAGACCCTTGACACAATTCCCAGACATGAGTCTATCACAGACCCAGGTCCCTTAAATGAAGGAGAGACTGGGCTCCCTTGAGGATGAATGCTGCTAAAATAACCACAAATCAGGTAAACGGACTTTCTTCCAAGCCTTTACAGAAGGGATCTGGTACTATTCTTACTCAGTTTAAATAAGTTGTGAAAGATGCCCCAGACTTTCAGGAACTGTTGGATACTGGTTCTAAGCTGATTCTATTTCCTGAGGAATACCGATTGTCACTACTTCCCACCAGACAGAGAAAGAGCTTCCCAGACTCAATAAACAACTTCAATCTTGTCACCTTTGCCTCAGAATAGGTCCCCAAACCCATATGGTGGTTATTCTCTAGTTCTTGAATATATATTTGGCAAAGATATTCTTAACATTTGATAGAATTTCATTTTTTGGATAATTCAGGGGAAAAAAAACCCTTCTCTTTTTTTTTTAAGTGCCAGCCTCAAAAATATTTAAAGAAGATTCTCACATTTTTCCTTAGACTCTGATTCTTTAGAGTTTTAGCTATAATGTACTCTCCTGATTAGTTGCCTTCTTGGCCCGTCTTCTTTGGGTGTGCTTGAACTAGTCAACATTCTTGTTGAAATGGTGCCTAGAATAGCATGGACTCTTCCACAGATGATATGACAAGGGAGTGTTCCTGGAGATCATTAGTTCCTGGGAAAGAGACATTATTAATGTAGCTAACAGGAAAGTTTGCATTTAAAGATATACGACATTGTTCATTTTCAACTTATACTCAATTAAAGGTCCAGAGATTTTTCACTCATTTAATAACAAGGCAGAGTTTCCCTATTCCATGCTTGTGAAACTGATTTTAACATTTTTTTTTTTAACATATTTCATTCACAGACCTATGAATGATGGATAGGTCTGTGGATAAAAAGTAATACGTGCTCACTAAATAAAGGTTTAAAATATGAAAAAATGAATGAAAACATGACGGCGGGAAGGGAGTGAACCGCCTGCACCCCTCGCTGGCAGGATCCCAGAGGCCACCAGCAAGAAGAGGAACTCAGAAAGCCTGATGGTGAGTCAGAATCTCTGGTGTCCTTGCTTGCGCCGGGGGTAGCTGTTACTACCCAGGTGGATTTCTCTGAAGGATTGCTGAGACCTTGAAGGGGACTCTCATAATACGTGCACTGAGCTTTGGAGTGCGCGCCATTTTGTGAAATTTATAAAATTCTCCCCGGGAAGAAGCCACAGGGAGCAGCTGCCACTCAGCGCCCGGCCACCACAGCTGCTGCCCTCAGCGCAGGGCCAGACTGTGCAGCCCCGCCACCGGGACTTGGGGTCCAGCGACAGCGGTATCTGCCGGGGAGGGGGCTGTCCTCTCTCCGGCCCGGGCGCTGCTGGAACCGCGAGCTGAAGAGAGACTGAGCAGGCTGTGGTGCGAACAGGAGCCAGAGCGCCAGGGGCAGCAAGAGGC